ATTCTATTGATGATATTTACACGTTTTCTGTGATCAGTGATGTCTCATCTTGTGCAGTTACGTTTATATAATCGTTGCAAACACCCGTTGGCTGCCATTGGTGGCTGCGCTGGGGTGCCGTCATTGGTCTGTGCCTGGAAGAAGGCGGGGCCGTTTGTGCAGAACTGCGAAGCGCCATGATGTCATGATCCGTTGCGGCCTTGGTACCGAAACATGTATTTGGACATGTTTTTTCCTTTGCTTTTGGCGACAGAGTCAATCGATTTCTTTCTGCTATGTGTTTCCTACGTCCCCGCTCCTTTCTGCCTTTTGTCTCTTGGCGGCTGCTGCCGTACCACATGTAACCGACTTGCACGCCTGCGGGTACAGGCTATCGAAAGTTTGGCACCGCTGCTGTGCTGTCGTTGATTTGCGACACAGGCCAGACCATGTGTGGCTTGTGCAGTCAATGAAATGCTTTGGACATGCCGCATCATGACATAATCTGAGAGGAGCTGTAGTTGGAGCCCGGCCCATACAAGACCGCGGTGTTTTAAGCATTTTTTGACATTTTTTTGTTTTTTGATGGTCTTTCATGTCAACTAGAACACAGACGTCATGCTATGTTATGGTTATCTTGGGTGGGGTGGGGTGGGACAAAAACGTTCATGTCAACTTGCACACACACGTCATGCTACGTTATGGTGATCTTCTCTTGCACTTGCACACACACACACGTCATGCTATGTTATTGTTATATCTTGGGGTGGGGTTGGGTGGGGTGGGGTGGGGCAATGTATGACGTTCATGTCAACTTGCACACACACACACGTCATGCTACGTTATGGTTATCTTCTCTTGCACTTGCACACACACGTCATGCTACGCTATGGTTAGCTTGGGGTTGTGTAGTAGATTTGTTTTATAATTGGATACAACCCCTGATAAGATGACTTTACAGGGACTCGGGAATGGTGAGACCCCGGGAAGACATTAATATATATATATTCTTTCGCAGATACGTAGTCGTGTCGGGTTTCATTGTTATGTTATAGTCATGCTACGCTATGGTCATCTTGGAGTGGTGTTTTAGATATATTTTGTAATGGGATACAACCCCTGATAAGATGTCTTTACAGGGACCCGGGAATGGTGAGACCCCGGGAAGACATTTATAGCTTAGACTGGGATACAACCCCTGATAAAATGTCTTTGCAGGGACTCGGGAATGGTGAGACCCCGGGAAGACATTAATATATTTTTTTTTCGGGGATACGCACTGGGGTTCGGGCTCCATAGTTATGTTATAGTTAGTTTATGTTTTGACATGTGTTTGCATGTGCGCTTTCAATTTTCCAAAGGAAAACACGAACTTATGTCAAAAAACGAAGTAGTTTTGGAGATTTTCAAAACCCTATTTTTCACGTCAACATGATAAAAAAAAAGACGTTTCGCTGTAGCGACAACGCCATTTTTGTTGATGAAAAACTCCTTAAACCATACGGCCCTCTGTGGGTTGGGAACCCTGTAGTTGGGAGGACCCACTGCAGTCCTGGCAGGTCGGTGTGGCTAGGGGTATCCAACACTTTCTCGAATCTGTTTTTACTACACGCTCTTCATTCCGTCCTTTTTCTCTGCAGCCCATTTGAATCACATTAAACCGCTGCTGCAGGAAAGCTTCCTCGGGATTCTTTGCTGAATACAGGCCAGATGTTTTCCGGAATGTATCCGTCCAACAAAAAAGTCTTAACTTGCGAAACCAATGCAGTTCTCCATTCCAATTCGGCGCGGGTGAACTTTCCTCGGTTAACTTGCTTCTGTCGCATCATTCCCCACCTGCCAAGTCAGTGTCTCTAGCTTTTTAAGCCTCGAAGCCTTTACAGAGGCACGCGCTGAATTTCAAATTGATAATATTGATAGCGAGCTCCAAATCACTATATGGGCATACACGGACCCCGACATGTGCCAGAAGGAATGTGAGAAAGAATGCCAGGTGGAATGTTTCTATATTAGAGCAGATAAAATCTCAGAAAGAATGTCCGAAGACATGTGAGATGAAATGCCAGATGATGCCACATGCAGATATGTAAAAAAATAAATTGTCACATGGAAGTCCCAGAAAGAATGCCAGATAAAACTTCAGACAGAATGCCAGATAAAATGTCAGATAGATTGCAAAAATGCAGGCCAGATGGGATGCCAGAATATATGCCAGAGAGGATGCCAGACAGATAGAATATCAACATATATGGCAGAGTCCAGATAAAATGCAAGAGTATATGTCAGATAGCAATAATGCCAGAGAGGATGTGAGATAAAATGGCAAAACCTTTTCCAGATAGAATGCCAGGCTCACTATCAGATATAATGTCCGAATATTAGGTTCAATGCTGGATGAAACTTCAGGTAGAATGCCAAAGAGAATGTCAAAATTTATGTCAGATAGAATGCCGCTTGGTTGGGGTCACTCGAAGAACGCATTTTTTTGGGACATTTGCCTTGTTGAACAAAACCTCTAGACCGTGATTCTCTTTTGCGAGTTCAATTTCAGGTTTGGAAAGATGTCGAACAAGCTTGCAGATGAGATTTCTTCTGCAGAGCTGGACGCGCTCATGAAGAACGCCATTTCAGTAGTGGAATCCAATTTTGATGAGAGCCACCTACCCGCAGCCATACGCGACTTCGTTCAACCGATTTCCACTGCAACATGTCAGGGAACATACGTCACGACTATGATGCTCTGTGGGGCAATGCCGTGCTTAACAAACGGAGCTGCAATTCGTCTGTGGACGCAGAAAGCCTCACCGTTGGCCCTTTTGGTGTTTCACATAGCACCACCCCAACGGGGCAAATCTAGATTGTTCCAAACATGTGAGGTGTTGATGGAAGTCTGCGACGACATTGTTGAGCAGATGGCACATGAGCATGCGCGTGCGCTTCAGCCAGAGGGTGCAGATGAATTGCCGGTGCAAGTCAAATCGATGGCTATTCAGTCGTGCACAGCCACCGAAATGTTCTTTCGGTGCAGCTGTGACTACCCACAGGTGCAGGCCGGGCATGGCCTCAATCAGAAGGGCGTTGCGATTTCATGTTCATGCTGCATGTCGCGCTACCATTTGTAACTTCATGTCTTCCAGCATGTCGGCGTCACCGTTGTGTAGCACCAGAACATCTGTGATGAACCCAAACAGAACGGAGATTTTCTAGACATTGATTCGATTAGCACGAATGATTTTTTTTCGCCACTTTGAGTATGGAAGGTCTGCTTATAGCTTCTACACTTACATCCAGAGTGCTTGCAGTAAGTGTTCTTTTTGCTTCGGTTTGCCACCAGCCTTGCCGAGGTAGGCGCTTCAAAGCGCGACGTCCAGACCACTAGATTGTGGTGGGGCCAATGCATAAATTGCGACGAAGCTTACGAATTTTGGGATCTCTTTGGATTAACCGGCGACAAGACTTCTGGTGTGAATCCCCATGCCTCCATGCTGAACACATTGATCAACCAGGGTCGGACTAAGCGCGCCACACGCACATCCACCAACTACGGCGAAGGTGTTCGAGCAAAGCCAATTTCTCTAAGTGTCTTGGGAAATGGGCATCCCAAGAGGGTGGTGGCTATGGAACGTGGGCTCATCGGAAATCACACAGTGGCGTGCAAAGAGAGGTTCTTGCTGGTTACAGACCACTCTGTTGCACGCCATGACAAATTGCCTCCTCACATTACGTCCAGCAGCGGAAGTCGGTACACTTGGCTTCCGCTCACTCCCTTGCAGGCCAAGGTGTTTCAGTGGCAAGACTTGCTGAACAACCCGGCATACTTCAAGCAAGCCGGTAGCCTCCAGGTGACTGAGGATGATGATGTGGAAGACATTGACCAGCCGGGTCTTGAAACAGAGGGCCCGCCACATGGTTTTCCGGTGGTTTTGCCAGATGGGGTGCCATCCCGTGTGCGCTATGTGCGTCAACCAGGCCCCAATAACTTTGGATGGACCAATCTTTTTATTTCATTCAAGTCAAACCTTTCACAGAAGATTCTTTTATCAATTACACCAGATACCTGCAACCATGCCCTCCCTTAGAAACTTTGCTTTCAGTTTCGAGTGGAGCGATCTCGCAGGAGAGACGCAGGCTCTGGTCACAGAATTTCGTATCTCCAGCAGATGGACTCTGGCAGATCCTACTGATCACATCAGGGAAGGAGCGAAGCGTGTTTGTCAGCATTTTCGCAACCGTCCACATTCCGTCTTGGAAATGGAATCTGAGGGGCGCAGGCTGCTCTTGGGCACCTGGGCACTAGAAGTTTTTACTTTTGCATCGCCACTTTTTTTGGCGCCTGCCAAATTTGATTGTGTCTTGTCGGCTACATGCTTGTGCCGCGCTGCCTCCAGGCAATCAAGTGGCGCAATCTGTGAGGGCCCAGCAAGCTGCGACAGGTGACGATGAAGCGATGCATGCAAATGCCGCCGGACTCCAGGGGCAACTTGCTGCAGCCATTTCCGTCCTCGACCTGGCTGGGGGCGGTGGACACTTCGATGCCAACGGAGCCTTGATTATCAAAGCCGAGCATGTGCAGGTGAGATGCTCTTGTGTGCTTCTGCTGTCTGCTGCTCTCAATACTTTGAAGAAAAACTGACGTGTGTAACCGTGTCACCTATTTGGTTCATAACGAGGTCCATGGTGGAAGCCTTCTGCACCCAAACCTTTCGGATCCATTCTGATTCGATCGCAGCCCTCTGCAGGTTGCCTGCCGGCTGGTTGAGATTGCCTTGCAGATTCGACATATTTTTCGCCTCCCCCTGGATGATGACCTCTCCGATCAAGAGAATGTGGAGCGCCCTGAGATACCTGTGCACGGAAACTATGACCGCAAGTTTGGTGAGGCGCTGGCAACCCAAGGATTGCCTGCGCTGCCGCCCGAGGAAGAAGAGGCAGTTGCAGAGGCAGAGGCAGAGGAAGAAGCGTTGCTCCCTCCCGAGGCGCACGCGCGGGAACATAGTCCAAACTCAGTGCTAGCTGCTATCCTAGTGTCATGGCTCTTGTGACAAAAAGCAACTCTTGTGACTTCATTCGTGTCCCCATGAATCGCAGAGACGCAAGCTTGTAATGCATACACAGCTTGGACCAGCTTTGAAAAGTGAAGCTGGTTCCAGTTTGGCCCCGTCGAATAGTGCGTACTTTGTTCTGCAGGGTTTAAGTTCAAAGATTTGACAAATCCTACCTGCCGGAAGAAGGCCGACGCGAAGCAATAGTGGAGCCAAAGCATGTATTATATACATATCTGTATAGGTGCTTGCATATAATCACCGGAATCTTTGGTGCCAACAGCCTCAAATCAAAACCAAAGCCCTGTGGAAGAAGGGTGTGTATGCACAGACATAACAAACAAACACACACACACGCACGCACGCACGCACGCACGCACGCACGCACGCACGCACGCACGCACGCACGCACGCACAGACATACACTCTAGACAAGAACTGGATCATTAAAGTGATCCGTTGGGTACTGTATCCCATAATGTGCAATTAGACAAGAAATATAGAAGTAAATGACCAGAAAATAATGAATATTTATATATATATATACAGATTGAGAGGCTATGGTGGCCACCAGGTGCGACTTGAATGCGCCCAGGTGCACCACCAAAGCCCAACATGTACGTGCACACGGGTCCCAAGGAGATGTCTTCGTTGATCACCGACCCCCCCGGAACCCCGGTGATCCCTTGCTTTTATAAAGATATAATACATACTGCGCCACCGTCGAAGTTTTACGTTTGTTTTCCGGCGTTTCACACACACACACACTTTTGCTCAGGCACTTCTATTGAATATTAAAATTGCACTGCAATGCATCATCTATACAAAACGGCAGCAGAAGAAAAACCCTAAAACGAGAATGGAAGGTATATCAAATATCCCATCTCTTCCTTCTAGCCAAGTTCCATCCTGGATGGATTCTTCAGATTCTCCGGTTCTACGCTTAGCCGGTCGGCATGCAGGACATTTGGAATTCAGTGCCTTCTGAAGGAAAATGACAATGCAAAGGCAGGTACGTCGCGGTGATCAGCCATCATATCCTTTAGTCGGGCTTTGTTGGCGACAGCCATGCAGCGACCTTGTCGCCCCGTGCTCTCAATATTTGATGTGCAGAAAAAACATGAAACGGCACAGCAGGTAAAGTTTTACATCTCTTCAGGTGGCACACGCGCACGCACGCGCACGCACGCGCATACACACACACATACAAGCATGCACATTGCATCTGTAGAATAAGAAGGAAAGAATGCTGAGGCAACAGGGCATTCGCGAATTCTTCAGAAATCACCTTGCGAAAGCTGTGCAACTTTTTATATCTATCGTCCGATAGTCCAGTTCGGAGTCTAGGTTGGGCTTCCCATCTCCTGTCCGCCCGCAAGGACTCTGCAGACCACCATGAGGCTAGCGAGGAGCCTTTGCCCACAATTTTGTCCTGGAAGGACATCCTTCCGGAAGAGCCTTTCTTCAAGAAAGGGCTGGCGGACAACGATGAGATGGTTTTTCCCTCCCCTCTGCAAGACCGTCAGCTTCTTCGAAAAATTCTTCTTCACGGGGGCAGCGAGTTCAAGGTTTCGAAGCTAGTGGATCTTTATCATGTGGTGCAGACTATCGGAACGGGGAAGGACAAGAAGCGCAAGAAAGTCAGACCAACAATTGCCAAGGCAAGTCTTGTCTTCGACATCAGTTGTGGCCCAAACTAATCCTTGCTCAGACCCATTCTGTTCTTGCCCGTGTTGTGGGCGACTTGTGGGGCCATATGCCATATGCAGTCAATGGTGTTTCAGTTTCATCGATTTTGCGGCACGGAAGGTTGAACGCATTTGGCAAGGGTGGTTCCCTGAGCAGGACTTGTTTCGGATTCTGAAAGAGCTATAGCAAAGCGCTTCAATGGCCATGGGCCTTTTTTTGAAGATAATTCTACCTCATCAAAGACCTTATGCGTGCTTTTACATTTAAGATTCAAGATTGTTGTTTTCATATTTTCAATTATGATTTGCAAATATCGAGGTGCAGTCCTTACTTCCACAGTGCGAGATACTTAGTCTAGGCATTTAATTCCGAAATCAGATTTGAGGTACAAGGTGCAAGACAAAAAGACAAAGATGTTGATTCATTGCACTGAGGATGCCATGTGTGAACACACAGATTTGTTTACTGGACAGGTCAAGTCTGTGTTGCAGAAGGCGGTGCAGCGCTATCCACGCATTGGCTCTTTGAATGTTTCAAGCAAGGAGTCTACGTTGGTCTTAAAGTCGTGGAGCAACTCGAAAAGAAACCAAATTTTGTTTCACAACGACATTTTGCAGTGTGGCCGGGTCTCTCTCAGACAAGTGTCAGAGAGACGTGGCTTGTATAATGAAGAGCAGCGGTCCACCAGTGTTCAGCCAGGGGAGCGCGGCCACAGCGCCGCTGCGCCAGCACCATCTCCATCCCAAAGTGGCCTCCCTGCGCCACCTACTCCGCCCGGTGGAAGGGCTTGAGATGGCGTAACTTGCTTTGGACATACATCGTGCACCAGTTTTGACTTTGCCAGCAGCAGCGCGTGTTAAAGCAAAAGTGTTCAGCATACCCGCTTTGGCTTTTGACTTTGCCAGCAGCAGCGCATGTTACAGCAAAAGTGTTCAGCATACCCGCTTTGGCTTTTGACTTTGCCAGCAGCAGCGCATGTTGAAGCGAAGGTGTTGTGGCACAGGCGGGGCCGAAAGCATGTCAGTGGTGAGCTCACATCTCCAAGGTTATACTGGGTGCAGGTGCTTGTGTCACGTCGTGCGTAAACGGTGTCCCCTTGCGGTTCTGGTGCGCAGGCATGCAGCATTTGTTGTTATAGTATAATATAGTGGCATAGTCGCATCTTTTCCAGGGGCGCGTGGATTCTGATTGCATGTGCCGCCATCAGTTCTGTTCCCAACTCTTGTCACGCAGATAAAACAGAAAAAATAGTTCAGAATACAGTTGGATACAGTGGCCCATGGCGTTTTGCACTTCCAATATCTTCGGATGCGGTGTCCCGTGGTGTTTTGCAGTTGAATATATTTGACTCAACCGCAAAACATGTCTCACGATATGGCGTCAGCATGGCATGATTGAATTTGAACATCATAACTTTGGGACCTCCATGAACATGGTTAATGGGATGTGCTCACAAGGGTATCTGTCCTAAAATATCTTTGGGTACGGTGTACCATGGTGCCTTGCGCATCGACACATGTTTGAAACAACCGCAAAAAGTGCGCCCGCATGTGGTGTCCGCATGAACCCTTGAATTTGAACATATTTTTGGGATCCACGTGAAGTTGGTGTCTCCATGGGGTTGTGCTAGAAAAAAGGTGGGGGTGGATGTGGTTTGAGGCAATTTCTTTCTTGCCCTTGCGCACTCAATTGACGTTACTGGGTCGATGTTGTAACAAGTCCCGATGACAAGATCTTGTGCCAAATCGTAGTGTGCCTATGGGGCGGGGAAAGGCCCACATGGGCAGCGCCTATTGATCAGCAGTGTGCCACGGGGAAGTGGATGAAACGGTTGATTGGCATGAAGTAGAATTTATCGTAAAAACCATGGGAATGTAACGTCAATCACATCCAAGTTTGTACGTTGGAAATGCCATGAAATTTTGTGTGCCATGCGGAGGATGATAGTTGTGACTGTTCAAGCAGGCATATGGTTGTCAACTTTTGGTCAGCAAGCGTACATTAAACGCATAATAAATAGATATATTTGAGTTGCCTGCCTCAGAATTAGTCCACTTTGACCGTCGGTGTGCCAATAGGATTTCCACCTGGCGGAAGATTATTGATGTCTGGCGTAAGTGGTGTGCCATGCGGCTGGCGCAAGTTCTAGTAAATGGCGTAGGATCACGCCAGGGCCCGTGCGATATGAAACCGTTGTTTTCTTTCAGAGCGTAGCAGAGCGGGCAGGAACGTTCATGTACTTGCACGTCTACTTACTTGACGCTACCTGCAGCTTACGAATTTCATTCGCACTTGCACGCCTACGTGATCACGCACTACTGGCTCTGCGTCACCAGATCTGCACCACAAGATTTCGCGGCCCCATGCACCGGCTAGCTGCAGTCTCACCTGTGCTTGGACAGTTGGGCCTACGAGATGCAGTTGCACACCTTCATGCAAAAATGAAGCACGATGTAGGTACATCCTGTAGCCCCACCTCCGCAGCCAGCTGCCAATAACGCCTCGCTTCTTGTCGACAAAGAAATAGACTGTTCTTGCATTTGTGCACCTACTTGATGTTCCTTAGTGCCATATGAAAAACTTCTTGTGTACTTGCACGCCTACTTGATGCTACGTTGAAAGACCTTCTTTTGCACTTGCGCACATATTTGTTGCCACGTACTTTTTTAGTACTTGGGCAATCTTGAGCACCTACTTGGTGCTACTTGCAAAACCGACAAAATTTACATGGAAACCGACAAAAATTTACATGGAAACCGACAAAATTTACATGGAAATCTCAGCGTCCGCAAACTTCTCCAAAACACGCCGTCTCCTTCACAAGTCATGACATGAAGGTATACCAAGGCCTCCATTAGGCGCCGCCGTCTCACCGACTGCACTGACTGATGCCTTCATTTGACAGCATGGCTTCAAACACTTCAGTGGGAAAAGATAGGTAGCAAAGCGTTGCCCAGTGAAGACAATGATGTTACTTCAAAAAGCTCTAGCCACACACGCTTGCATGCATTTGCAATGAGAGCAATGGAAATGGTGCACATGCAACTGACTCTGGCTGCTGCTTGTGGCTGTTCAAAAATCAGCATGGCGCATAAGGCAAACACGCTTTGACAGACATGCGTTGTAAGAGATGGTTTCCTTCCGGTGCCAGCTCACTCTTCCATTGACATCTCTGGCACTCCCCAGGCTATAGTCAGACAGGCACCAACAGAAGAAGTTCTCCAAAAGTACAGAATGCAGATCTTGCTTAAAAATCCGCACGCCTTGGAATTTAGGTGAATGGCCATGGAAGTGCTTTGTTCCTCCAGGTGGTGCTGCCCCGTCTGTGAGTCTCCATTGCAACAGCGCCGGCCACGTCAGCGGGGCGCAGTGCAATGTCAGCTGATTGCTGAGCCCGAAACCCTCCATGCTTGGCATGTGAGCAAAATTTGCTCCACATGTCCATTGGTAAGAAAATTTTGGTGCGGTTTTCAGGAGATCTTGATCAACGGCAAATGGGTCAAGCAGGTTGATAACCCTCATCCGCTCTATTTCTTTGTCAGCAAGAAGTTAGGTGTTGCTGGCAGCTGGCTGCGGAGGTGGCGCTACAGGATGTACCTACATCGTGCTTCATTTTTGCATGAAGGTGTGCTGCTGCGTCTCTTGGACCCAACTGTCCAAGCACAGGTGAGATTGCAGCTAGCCCGTGCATGGGGCCGCGAAATCTTGTGGCGCAGATCTGCTGATGCAGAGCCAGTGGTGCGCGAGCGCCTTGCTTCACAACTCCTGGCTTTACCTTTGGAGAAGCTGCTGGAAGTCAATTGGTCCTGGTATGAGCCGATGATGTTTCAAAGGTTGGGCCAAAGGTAAGGATTCTTCTTTTGCCTTTCAAATTTCACAGCCTTCGGCATGCCGCCGGACCTCTGGCACCTCTGGCAGTTTGGCGGTAAGTACGCAATCTAATGGTTTAGGAAGGAAAGCTTTGATCGTTTGAACAAATTTGGGGCATTGCTGGATGTCTGGTTTTCATTGAAACGACCTTGCTGGAAGGGTTTCGGTTAGATCCATGCTATGGGCATCCGATGGTCTTTGTTTGCGAAGGTGCTGCAGTCTTGTTGAGGAGAAGATGTGAGATGGCCAAGTCAAAAATCCGTGGAAGGGGAATATTAGCCTAAACTTTAGCTTCTGAACAGGACAGGTGGAGGGCGGGGAAGGAGGGGGGAGGGAGGGCGGGGGAAATCCGTCGAAGAGTAGTTGAGCTAAAGATGTATCAGAAAAACAAGCACAAGACACCAGGGCGCCGGATTTCACGCGCAAACAGCATCGCAGCGATGTCGCACTTGAATTTGAACACATCAAGGTTTTCTAGTTTTCAACCGTGAGAGGCGGTGGACACAACTCCTGACCTCCGGCGACCGTCTCGACATTTGCGCAATCGATGGCAACGCACAGTTGCACAGGCGCACTTGTGGGCAGCCACATGCGGAAGTGGTCTATTATCCCGCTATCGAGAAATTTCTCTTGCGAGCTTGCTCCCGCAGCCCTCATGGCAGAGAAACCTTATGTCCTTTCCATGCATCACAAAGAGATTCATTGTTGCAAGCGAATCCTGGCGAAGGCGAAGTTGCTTCTCACCGCTTGAAACGGGCTTTGTACGCAGAATCTGATGTCTGTTACCTTGAAGTCAAGATGGACGGCTTCGCTGGGTGGCAGCCGGCGGAGACAGTCAACCAGACGGTGCTGAACCGTTACTTTGCAAAACTCGCTGATGGCACCATCCGCCGCAGGCGACTCCAGTTAGTCTTCCACACATCCGGTCCTTATATATCTATATATATATATATAATTACTTATTGGTATATTTTCCTTTCTGTAGATTTGAAAAAAGTCTATTTGTTTTTACGTTTGAATATTTAGATATTTATAAGGATACTGGAGACGTTTTCAGCCAACCTTTTCTGTTTACCTGATGCAGGCAAACGCGCGCGCACACACACACATACTGTCATTGTTCCACCTGTCAGGCGACAGCGGCGCGAAGAGGTCCGGTCCCAGAAATGGCGTGGCTTCAGGCCACGGAGCCGCAAGTACCTGGCTCCTTGGTCTTCAGAGCAAGCGCGGGCAGAGAGCTCCTGTCAGACGCACAAGGAAGGCGAGCAGCACGTTGCTGCGGCATCCAAGTCAGCTGGCTTCTTGCTGGCGGTGAGTTCTGGAGGACTTATGTAGCCACCTCTTTTTTGATAGGCATGCTCAGCATGTGGTGCGTAGGTAGATTTGGCCTTGGCTCATGTTTCTGGTCAAATCATCACAATCTCCTCGCACTCACCCCTGCCAGGAATGATTGTCGATATTCAAGAGCTCGTGTGTGCAGAAAGCTTATCCCAACGTTATTGTTTTTTGAGTACATTGGCAACTCGCTGGCCACAGCTGGCCATTATTTGCCACGATGACGCATGTCATCTCAAGCTCTTCGCGCTCCAGCATCGGCGCAGTACTGCCGTAGCGGAGCGATTGGCAGCAATGGATTACATTGTAGATCGCTTTCATGCGCCTGGCCATTGTGGGGAATATTGCGCGCAGCATTGCTTACCAACCATTGAAGACAACAAGCGCTTGCTTGGAACTTTTCCGACCGAAATCGCAGAGATCGTAAACAGTGAAATGACCCCACTTGGTCATACCATTCACCACATGGGCAAGTTTTTTGCGCAACTTGTCGTCAGCGAATGCACGGATGTGCATAATCTGAGTCGCCTCCTGGCCTTGCGTGACAAGCAGCGGGCAGACGCTAAGAAACGTGGACGAGGCACAATCCAACCTTCTCTCCGACCTTTCGTTTTCGAACTTCTCATGAACTCATCCATGCACACGGTTTCAGGTAAACAGTACAGGCAACCATATGAAAGAAAGGGAAACATTCGCATTCCCGCAAGAGTTCTTTGCGCTTGTCGACGATTTCCTTCCAAATTTTGAGTTACGTTGTTGTCACTCGATAAAACACACGGGCGACCAGCTTTGACAGGATGACGCGCCATCACTACTGCTGCAGAGGCCATGCTGTCTCCTTTTTTACATACATTTACATTACATTTGTATAAATACGAACGTGGTATCAAATCCTTCTCCGACCCCGAAAAAGACATATTTCTCATCCAAGAACAAGTGGGTATATGTCAAAAGATTGAAGGGATGATAGTTGTTTTTTGTTTATCATGGTCCTTCATTGTTCATTACATAGTTAACATAGTTCATGCCCATCACCATGGAAGTGTTGCCCTTTGGGGTCTACTTGGGGAGTGGTGTGCACACAGGATTTTTATGGGGTATTGTAGAAAGGAATATCATGGATGTATAAAGTCAACCACAATGATGAGATGGTAGAGATATCCTTAAAGAAAACAAGGAATATGACAGCAGTAGTAGATGTGGAGCCTAATCAGAAGGCATCGCCGTATTCGGGCATACCTTTTGGTTAGTTTTTAAAACGTACCGAAATAGGCATTTCCACCGAGATTGTGTGAGGATATACAATATCAGGATGTGCAATAGTATATAATGGGGTAGTGGGTGTTATTTGAAATTTATTAACACTAGATATCATGCACATATTCAGCAAATAGCCCATTTGTGGTCAGCCATATTTACATTGCTTCAAAACGGGTGTTATCTACCGTTTCACTGAGATATTCACGAAAAATTCGCCATGATATGTTGCTAAATGTAAGCATACAAGCATGAATAAATAGCTGGGAAATAGATAAATAAGTAAATTATTTCCATCTCCTTGTTACCATTACCATTACTTCAACAATCATCCGAAAATGTGACTCGCGCGTCACTCCTGATTTATGCTGGATTCTCCATATGTGATTGTCTGAAATTAGGCACCATTTAATTCATTATATATCTGTCCATAGACTCACCCATTTAAATTCCAATTCGGACAATGTTTTTTTGTGAGAAATGAATTCATATCTACATACAGTGTTCATAAGCTCTTCTAAAGCCTTGTAAGGCCATTTACCAAGGCTGACGATCTCCCTATCCAACCTATAGTTGTATTCCCATGTTTTATCCTCATGCGTATGTTGGGGTCCCCTACAGCTTCTTTGTAGTTCCCATGAGATGTCCAAATATAAAGTTTGAGGTCTCACGCACCTGTTTTTCTAATTTTGTACAGCCTCACCGAGTGTGATTCCGGGCATCATATTCAGGTTCACACCTGCCGCACTGAGACTGGTAGCAGCGAATCGTGAGTTTTGATCGCTTGAGCCTGCCGCGTTAGACCCAACGGCAACGTTTTTGCCATTTATATATGTATATATCTATCTATCGATCTATCTATATTCCGAGAACCTAACTGTACCTATTTATATATATATATCTCTATATATATATATATCTATATTGCAATTTTCTATGTGTCACTTTTGGTTCCTTTAAAACAGTAGATTGCGCCATGCCTGGCTCTGATGAATTATTGCCATGGCTGACAGCTGACCTTGCTTTGGGCTGTGCAGGTGCTATAGTTTAGTCCCATTTGCCTGACTGAGTGGAACTAGGGTCGCTGAACATGACCTGCTGTGATTTCAACAGGGGAAAGGTTTTGATGTTTCTGCATCATCGTTTTCCGTCACCAGCTTCAAGATATTCAAGCGTAATAAGTCGGTGAAACCCAAATGGGACATTTCAAGTCGCCAGACTACTTGGATCTCCGGATTTCGCTCACGGGATCCAAATGGCAATGCTTGACCCGAACCAAAGCTTTGACAAAAGAGGCAAGAACTGAACTGCATGGAGTGATCGTGTTGTTTTGAAGGGGAATTAGTTTATACATCATGTGTGTAGGAATTAGCACACAAATCGATGTTTCTGCTTGGGGCATACTGACATACTTGAAATTGGCGGTAAGCAAATTACAATCAACTTCCAATGCTCTCCTCCCCACCCACAAATCCCGGCCAACCGGCCATCCGGCCATCCGGCCACGGCCGCCCGGCCACACCCACCCACCCACCCGCCCACCCAGCCATCCGGCCACCCGGCCACCCGGCCATCCGGCCACCCGGCCATACGGCCACCCGGCCACGCGGCCACGGCCTTCCGGCCATCCGGCCACCCGGCCACCCGGCCACCCGGCCATCGGCCACCCGGCCCCACCGGCCACGGACACCGGCACACAGCCACGGCCACCCGCCACCGGCCACCCGGCCACGCGGCCACGCGGCCACGCGGCCCCGGCCACGGCCATGCACGAAAAAAATCTATCCTCGTAGCAACTTGGACACTGAAAATGGTCATTTTTGGGTGAGTTTGAGGTGCCCATTTTATTAGGCGATACCAAATTCGTCCAATTCCATCACGTGGGTTCAACATATGTTTCTTTTTGTTGGGCTTATATGATTTTAAGTGAAATCTGGCAATGCGGCAAAGATGTTTGGGTGTGCGTCAAAGTCAGACGGGCTATTTTCAACCACTTCGGGTTCCGGCATGCCAGTTTTGAAGCGTGCCCCTGTTGTGTTCAACAGTTCAGACCCATAGGCTTATGAACTGCCAGTTTTGAAGCGTGCAACTCTCGTGTTTTTCAGCGCAGATCCAGGTTTCTTGCAGGTTCTGGTGTGGTTCCGGAGGTTGCGATGCTGGTTGAAGCTTGAAATCGGTGTTTGGTGGCTGCTGTCACCTTCCTACCAGCTTTGTACTCGGAGACTACTTGATCTTATGGATTGTTTTTTACACATATCCAGCAGAACATGGGGATTTTTTCAATGTTGGTCCACCACAATGGTCCGTTGTGGCGGAGACAGTGGACATTTTGCCCAAGGCAACTCCAATCAGGAAGGCCGCGATGAGAGATTTCCTGAATGCAGCTTGGAGATGTGAAGATGGTCTTACAAACGGGATACGTTTAGAACTGGCGGTCTCTTTTCTATCTTGGGCAAACTATTCGTAAATTCTTTGATGCAAGCAAAACAATTGTACCATTCAAACCATTCAATTATTCAATTTGATACCATTTATATAAACCATTTGAGGTATCAATTTCTAGCAATTCTACCTGCTGGTGGTCGATCTTTGTTCTGGAATGGGCCTTGAGCCTCCCTTAAATGGTTGGCCCTGGAAGAAAAGAATCCTGGTGACCTGGTCTTGCCCAGAGTCAGCATCCCATGGCTTTAGACACGGTCAGACCGAGGCGATCAAATCTTCGATATCCCATAGAGATATATTTTCTATAGATATCCCATAGATTTTCTACAGATTTTCGATAGATTTCCTCTAGATATCCCATTTTCTCTACATCCCCTGGGTTTTTCCCATCATCCAAGGCCACTGCCTTCGTGGGCAAAGACCCCGCGAAGGCACAGCACTTCGTGGAGACGGTGAACCGCACCGCGGACCAAGGCCATGAGCGGAGTCTTCTTTTTTTCTCACTACCCTCTGGTAAACATACAAAAAGCTATTGAACATGGTCATTTAGTTTGTGGATTTACCCATCAAAAATGGTCATTTTCCATAGTTATGTTAGTTTACCAGAGGGTAAGTTTCACTTCTTTTTTTTGAGTTCTTTCGGTTTTTGGACTTATTTTATTCTGATGATGTCAAAGTGATGAAAGGAGTGAATCCCATTCTGAATGGTAGGGAGTATTTTTGTGTCCGCAATATTTTTCTGTTTGCCAAAGTAGGGATGATATGGGTTGGTGTAACTAGCAATGGCCCGTGAATCCAGCATTTTACAGGCTTAAATCCCATTTGTGAACTCCATAAGAAATATCCATCCAAAAGATAAGTCATCAATACCATACTCAAGAAATCAATCCCAGATTTTTTGCTCCCAGATTCCATATAAATTATAAAATCCCAGAGAAATTCCAGAGAATTCCCAAAGAATTCCCAAGAAATCAATCCCTCCGGGTGACCAGGTTTAGAGGCCATCAAGAAGCAGCAGGAGGTGATTCCTGAGCAGCGGAAGGCCGTGGACAGCGCCATGAATGCCAGGCCGATTTTGTGTAGTGATGGTGGTTGTTTTTGGATGAACATGTCAGCAGATTTTGGGGAAACACATGGGAAAAAGCAGGGAAAAGTCATGAAACTTGGGGAAGATCTGATTTTTGTGTTTTTTTTGGGAGGAATTTGGGTGATTTGAAGAGAGAAGCCCTAAACATACTTGGGAGTTCACCAACGCCGGCGCCACCGCTGTCTCGGTGGGTCGCTACAAATCAGGATGGCTCAGTTGGCTCCATTGTGTTCCAGATACATGTGCCTTGCCGTCCATTGCTTCATGAGGCTCCGTCAAACAACATTGGGCGATTTATTGTCAATAGGGAATGAGTCATTTTTTTTTCCCCTGTGGGACCACAGATTTTAGTATATGTTTAGTATTAACCATCTAATCAGGGGGTAGCCAATTTTACGACCAGTTTGAAGATGGGAACGTGATTTTCAGAACCACGGGAAACCAAATGCAGTTGCCAATTTTCAGACAAACCCTGTAGTAAATGGCCTCGTTGCTTTTGGTTTGTCTTGGTTGGTCTTTTGATTATTGGTTGTTTTCCCACTAGCCTAGCTACATCCCCATTGTTGATTTTGTCAGTTGAAATCCCTATGTTGCTTGGTTACCCCTCATTTTGGCTTTGGTTGGTGTTTTCCAAAGTTTTGCAGGTTAATTCCACATCATTGTTGGCTAAATCCAATTCTCAGTCGACTAAAGACTTTTTTTTGTTGATTTCCAATTGTTTGATTATGTAATAGGTACTTATTATATGCACATGTGTATATATATATATACTTATATGTATATATATGTATAGGTACATATTATCTGCACATATGTATATATATATATATATATAAATGTATGTATCTTTCCAAGTATGTACATATGTATGTATAATATATATATAGATAGTAACAACCTAAGAGGTAGACATATAAATCTATCATGATTTCAGTCGGATTTTACTTTTCTATGTTTTGGGTGTTCTGTATGATATATTGGTGCCTTCCCAGGCTGCCGCACCCGAGGTTCGCGCGCGCGGAACTGCAGGGCTTGAGTGCTGCGCAGTGCATGGCGGCTCAGGGCCGATTGAATGCCGAGCAGCTGCGACCCGGCAGGGTTCAATAGGTCGGTTGTGGGGTGATACGTCAAAGGTAGGTTTTGGGGGACAGAATGGCGGCATATACTGCAAATGCATATATATATATATATCATATATCATATATATATATATATGTTATATCATATTATATATATGTATACAATTTATGTACACACTATGTATGTATATGCTGTATATATGCCTAATGGGAACCCCAACGGGAATCTAACCAAGATATTCCAACCTAGCTGGGGTTACAGTACAAGAAATTTGGAGCCCGGCAGTAGAGTGGCACATTCCAACGTAAGATGATGAGTCTTGAACCAAGCAACATGGAAATTCCATCGAAGTGGACATGTCGAATCCAGCAAATTCGGACATCTGAAGTGCCTTGGAACAGAGCTAGATTAGCGAAGCCCTTAGTTCTGGATTCTGGAGATGACTTCCCAGTGGATTCTCCGTGGTCCGTGGTCCAGCTACAAGAGGTGATTATCCAATGAAACCCCAATGGCTTTGATCCCACATCTCGGGTAAAACGAGCCATGGTTCCATGTGTTAAAACATGGGTTCCACTCATGGAAAACTACACAACAAATCCACATCTCAATGGTGTTTTTTCGACAGTTTTCCATGGAAAACGAACCATTTCTACATGATTTCCCCATGATTTCCATGGCTGAGGAAGGATGACGGCGGTCCATGGGGCTGCGTCAACATGGCGAAGCTCAACAGTGGAGGCACCATGAAACCACCATGAAATCCCACTATTTGCCATCTATTTACCATCGAAAATGGGGATGGCGTGTTTTTTTTCATTCCATTCAATGCCATGAAAATACAATCACAGTGAGTTTTGCCATTAAATTACCATTCAAACATCACATCCTTAGATGAGGAACATCCCCTGAAGACATCCCGTTCTTAGATGATGAACCTGTAAAAAACCCATTGGATTCAGCTTTTTGAAGCACAAAAATTCTTGGCCAAAGATCTTGGATTCAGGTGATCCTTCGCTGCCTTCGAAGACCTGCAACTGGGGCTATCGCATCTTGGCGATGGATTCTCCGATTTTCCCAACGAAAAATACCGAAAAATGGCTCGGCCTTGGGAATTTCCAAGCGATCGCCAGCAGTTGAGTACTGAGCCGGGTATATAAAAGGTGGTTTAAATGTGGTTTATACACCCATCTACTGTAACTAGTTTGATATAGTTTGATCATGTTTGATATTTCTACCATAAACCCTGTTATGGACAAAAAAATGTCCGCCAACTTAGCTATCGTTTGGGGGGACCACTGTGTAGAGATATTCGGATCTCCCGAATTCTGCAGTTACAGCAGAATCTTACCATAATATCCTCCGATTTCAATCCATTTGAGTCGTAAATAAGACCTTCACAGCAACCCACTGCGTAAACATCATGGGACAGACTGGTGTACCACCAGCAGAGGTTTTGGTTGTCGGGATCTGGATAAATCACAACGACCTCACGTCGCAACGTCACTGGAATGATGGTGAAGGTAAGGGTAAGTGTCCCAACATTTCCTTATTTCAGGTTGGTGACTGATCTGGATTTATCCAGATAAGGGATTCCTGATTGGTAGTATCAGTCGCCAATCAAGCTTGGGAGCATCGTTCCAGCGATAAATCGAAGCCGACAATTCTTTCAGCGCCAAGATTTTTAAAGGAAAATGGGTCAAAACGCAGCCCCCCAAAAAACATGTTTTTTTTTTTCGTTCTCATCCCAACATGTTTTCACTTGCTTCATTTTCACAGCGGGATGGAGTAGATTTCCCCATTTTTCATGGTTTCCGCTGAGCTTCCAAGCCATGAGGTTCGCACAATCTCAAGTGTTCTACCAGGTGCCTAAGTCTCGGTGAGATTTCGACCACGTCTTTGGATCTTTTGGGCAGAGATTCGGCATGCAGCCAAGAAACAGTGAAAAAAAATCGACCAACTTTTTATATGGTAAAACACTCTTAGCGGTTAAACATGAATGGTCACATAGTATCAACTATTTCTGTGGACAGTGGACTTCGTGATGTCTTGGCAGCGCAGAATTCGTCTATTTCGACAGCTGGGAGGCTGGATTACTTGAAAGATCGAGAGCCTGCTCCTGGCGAGGGTGAAGGGCTTTCCATGGACGACTGGGTGCCTGGGCAACTGTGGAAGCAAATGTGTGGAGAAACAGAAATGGGCATTTCATGATTCACAGATTTCCGGATAGTGATTTGACCAAGTGAAAAGTCAACCATAACCAGAGTACCCCCTAGTAAACTAACATAACTATCAATAGCAAACTGTTAGTTTACCAGAGGGTAATTCCCGTTATATCCCATATAAATCCCATATAAATCCCCTATAAATCACCATTATATCCCATATAAATCCATGAAATCATGGTATAACTTGATAGTTCGAGTTTCATCTCTTTCGCCCCCAAGCTGTTGGAGGTGCGTCGTTGGTGCCATCCCAACTTCAGCCTCCCTGCACGGCCGCTGAACGCAGATTTGGCGGCGGGACAACATGTGAACAATGAGGAGGCGATGGGACTGGGATAAAGTGGGTATGGTAGATATATATATATATATACACATAGATATTGAATATCCTGGTATATATATATAGATAGATAGATAGATAGATAGACAGACAGACAGATAGATAGATAGATAGATAGGGTAGATATGGTAGATATGGTTTGCTATTGGGTTTACCCTCTGGTAAACATACAAAAAACATGGAAAATCACCATTTTCAATGGGTAAATCCACTATAAATGGTCATTTTCAATAGCTATGTTAGTTTACCAGAGGGTATTGTCTATGTCATTGATGATTATCTAAGTCAGTAGTAATGTATAGAGAAACATGATTATCACATCTATATATACACATAGTATTATATAACATGGGGGTGAAGTGAAATGTTTTTTTGCCACGCCAACAGCGGAACTGTCCAAATTGGGGTTAGCCACAGCCACTGTGGGCCTTTCAATCGTAGGCAGAGATGGAAGCAGAGGCGTTGAAACCTGAAGGAGACAATGGTGCAGACAAGGCCAGGTCGATCGAAGTTGGCACATCGCTGAGATGCTGCTCCATCAGGTGAGCTCAGGTGACTATGGACTTAGATCAACCCATCAACCCATACATTGGATGCATATCTATCTATATCTATCTATATTATCTATCTATATTATCTATCTATCTGTCTAACTATAGATCAGATGATATGATACAAAGATAATATACATAGATAATAGACATACATACATGCATGCATACATACATGCATTACATTTACAATAACGTTACGTTACGTTTCGGTGCCTTACGTTACCTTACTATAATACAATACAATAACATACAATAACAGATATACACAAGCAAACAAACAAACAAACAATCAATCAAACAAACAAACAAACAAACAAGCAACCAACCAACCAAACAAACAAGCAAGCAAGCAAGCAAACAAACAAACAAACCCACAAACACACAAAAAAACAAACAAAAAACAAACAAAAACAAACAAAAACAAGCAAAAACAAACAAGAACAAACAAAAACAAACAAACAAACAAAAACAAAACAAACAAAAACAAGACAAACAAAAACAAAACAAACAAACAAACAAACAAACAAACAAACATACATACATACATACATACATACATACATACATACATACATGCATACACACGTACGTACGTACATACATACATTTATACATACTTACATTACATTACATTGCATTACATTGCATTACATTACATTGCATTACATTACATTGCATTACATTACATTACATTACATTACAATACATGACAATACATACATACATACAGACATACATACATACAAACAGACACACACACACATACACACATACACACATACACACATACACACATACACACATACACACATACACACATACACACATACACACATACACACATACACACATACACACATCATACACACATACACACATACACACATACACACATACACACATACACACATACACACATACACACATACACACATACACACATACACACATACACACATACATACATACATACATACATACATACATACATACGGACTTTATATATAATTATGATAAGATGATACGATATACATATTTATACATACGATATATACGTATATATAGAATATATATATATAATATATTCCATGATGGTTGTGCTGTTGTCTTGACGTTTCCTGCCGCCGGTGTTCCCCGCCACTGTGCCCAAATTGCAGGTGCCACCTGATGTGGAAACCGAGCAATGACGGACTTCTCCAAAGCGAGTCGTCCCGCCGAACGACTGCGCGGTGCGACTGCAGGTGAAAATGAGTGCAGTGATGGCCATGGTGATTTCAGTTCTAACTGGTGATTTCTATGGTGATTTCTATGGTGATTTAATGGTGATTCATGGTGATTTCGTTATAACTGGTGAAATTTCTATAGTGATTAACGGTGATGAATAGTGATTTTTATGGTTTATAGTGGCTAAACATGTGGTGATAACTTGTTAGTTCTATGGGATTACACATTCCATCAGTTTTTAGGGCCACTGTGGTGGAGCTCTCCGGAATGGGAGGATGAGATCAAGAGTTTTTTTTTTTGCCAACAGTGAAACAACTGGCTTAGTTCATGATATTTCCCAGAGAATGACCTGGTGAAACGTGGGAGATTCCCCCAAATACCCTCTGGTAAGCGTTTACATAACTATGGAAAATAACAATGTTTAATGGGAAAATCCACTATAAATGGTCATTTTCAATAGCTCTGTTAAATTACCAGAGGGTAGCCTTAGTTACAGAAGTTAGAATTCCTTAAAAATAACTGTAATACGGGCTATAAGTGTTGCTGGATTGATGTAGGGGAAGAAAAAAAACGGTTAACACTTTTTAGTTTTTGCCATGATATCCAAAGGGTTTCTGTCGTCAGTCTTCCCTTCAGAACCATTTCTGGGAAGGGAAGATACTCCGTTGAATCCCCCCCCATATTTTTCAATATTTGCTGAATGCGAAAATTGGCTGGTTTGCTTCAGCCCCTGCAAAAAAATGGCCGGGAAAAAAACCCTCTGGTGATCCAAAATATAGCGAAGAATCCACCATTTATAGTTGATTTGCCCAGCTATACACCTCCATTTGCAGGGGTTTCTGAACTGCCCAAAATCTGCATTTCTGGTGACAAAAAAAAACCGATGCGTCCAGGAGTTCCCCGAAAATGCATTCGAACAAAACCGCCGAAAAAACAGAATACGATGTTGCCAAAGAATATATATATATAGTCATTGCTTAGTCATTAGTGACATATATGTTTTATCATATACTATTGGATATAAAATCATATAGTCATTGTACATCCATGGAGTTAACATACTAGATACCATTATCGATATCGTTGATATCACTATTTTTGATATTTCCATATATTAGTCATGGAAATCATACAGAGTTATTAATCACACAAAATTATATATATATGGATATTTTATTGATATATGAATATACTAGATCATATGGATTAATTTATTGATATATACTAGATCATATAGGTGATATATGATTAATCCATACCATATATGATTCATACTATAGTTTATTAATCAATAGCTATGTTAGTCATTACCAGAGGGTACATGATGACATGGCCCATAGAAATAGATGATTTTCCCAGCGACATCAACCTCCATTTATTCCATGGATTTTCCAGCTTGCCATGTTAGTCATACCCAGATGGTAGATACTATTCTATCAATGGGAGATCTCCAGGATCCAATACATGGAGGTACGTTATATAGTACCATCTTTTGGGCCATATTTTCTGGTGATCTTCCCTGAAATTTCGGCCTTATATACATAGGCCAGGATCCTGTTGCATGGCCATTTAGTTCGTGAGTTTTCCCATTAAAAATGGTGATTTTCCATAGTTATGTAAACGCTTACCAGAGGGTAGATACTATTTTAGTTATCATCGATATTTATCCCCATTAGAGATCATTAAACCACATTAAACCATATTATCCCATACTATTTTAGGATATTCCCTGAAATTTCGGCCTTATATACATAGGCCTAGGATCCTGAAATGGCCCATTTATAGATGATTTTCCCATTAATACCTAGCTATGTTAGTCATAACCATATTATCCCATACTATTTTCCTGAAATGGCCCATTTATAGTGAGTTTTCCCATTAAAAATGGTGATTTCCATAGTTATGTAAACGCTTACCAGAGGGTAGATACTATTTTAGGATCTCCAAAAAAAAGTCCACCCAGGTTGGTGCTCCATCGTCAAGGCCGCCGAGCTTCGAGGCTTGGACTTGGCAAGGGCGACCCAGCCGGAAGGAACGGGGGTTGCGCGTCGCGTTATTGGCCATGGGAATCCATGGTGGATTTCATGGGATTTCATGGTGATTTTATGGTGATTTATTGGTGATTTATAGGGATTTAATGGTGATTTTATGGTGATCCAATGGTGATGTCACCAACAAAATGGTGAGTTCATGGGATTTAGATGGGAGATAGCGAAAAAGATAGCTAAGTTATCTTTTTGTGAAATTTGTGAATGGCGCAGATGGGAGCCAAGTTGGTGAAGATATAGCTGTTATAACATAACTCCAATTTTAACTCCAATAACCATTGGGTTTATGATGTATATGATGTATAACGTAATACACATATGGTTTTCATGGGCTTTGTACAGCAACTGAAAAAACGTTTGGGGGCCCCACCTGGTACATTGCGAAAAGGGTCAAGGTCTTAAATGTTGTCCCACAACCATATTAGTATATGGATATATATATACACTGTATATACAAATATATTTTGTTCGTGAATGTTCATGATATCCATTTAGTATGGAAACACGGTAGACTATCTTTCCATTTAGATAGTTTATAGATAGTTAAACATAGTTAAACATCAATAAATAAACTATCTATAAACTATGTTTAACTATAAAAACTATGTTAAACATCAATAAATGGTTTTATGGACTCTGTTGGCAATCCCGGAGTGATCGGTTCATCACCGAAACGCGGGAAAATCATGGGACGGGCACAGCCGGATGGTTATTTCCAGAGCCTTTCGAGAATGACCTGGTCAAACGTGGGAGATTCCCCCAAATACCCTCTGGTAATTTAACATTAGCTATTGAAAATGACCATTTATAGTGGATTTTCCCATTGAAAATGGTGATTTTCCATAGTTTTTGTATGTTTACCAGAGGGTACTTCAATGATTTTCCCATCGGTCCCGAAACCTCAACCAGTTCCGGGATGTTCCGTCTTACCGCGTTAACGGTGACACCGGAACTGAAACTAATCATGAAACGAACATGAATTTGAAGATTTTTGGATGGTTATCATGGTTTATCATTAAGTTCTCCCCGGTGGCTGAAAACTGCCTGCCTTGAGGTACCTGCCACTGTTTTTTGGCCCGCCCTCTTCAGACAGGCAGAAACTGCTGCTGTGGCTCACCGGATGCAGTTTCAGGCATTTACATAGCTTACCCGGCCTGGTAAACATACAAAAAACTATGGAAAATCACCATCTTTAATAGGTAAATCAACTATAAATAGGCAATTTTCAATAGCTATGCTAGTTTACCAGAGGGTATTGTAATGTATGTGTATCATATATATATATATATGACTATACTATATTTGAATCAAGGTAGATCTATTTATTTGAAGCATTTTAAATACCATTTTTTTTAACGAGCATTATATCAATGATCCCCATTGATGACATTCTTATCACCTGGAAAAAAACCCAAGTCTGGCTGTCTGAAAATTGATTATCTATACCCAAGTAACGTTTATTTTTATGTCGGGAACATGATGATTCACCAGTGATCGTACATGTCATCGGAGTTTCTAGGCTTCCTTAGGTAGCAGTCTATGGTCGACCAGGAAATGTCCATATTTGAGAGGAAAAATAACACCTTTCTATCTCACACAATGTGATATATATATACTTATATGTATACATGAATATGTTATATAATAGAATACTCATCTACATCATGTTTACTCATTTACATACATTTAAATTTACATATTTGCCAATACTTTAATCCTGACTAGTCTTTTGGTATCAATGGGAATATCTACGTTCACCAGCAAAGAATTTGTCATTTTTTGCAGGGTATCTAAGATTGGCAATGTACAAAACTATGGAAAATCCACCATGTTCAATGGGAAAATCCACTATCAATGGCCATTTTCAAGTTCGCAAACTGTTAGTCATTACCAGAGGGTACATGATGACATGGCCCATAGAAATAGATGAATATAGATGATTTTCCCATTAATACCTCCATTTATAAGGGATTTTCCAGCTCATTTACATACATATTTGATATATTGTACATGTCGACATGTCGACAAAGTTGCCTTCAGGGACAGCACAAGGACGGCCTTTGGGGATGCGCAGGTGCACTGGCGGGGGAAAACATGGGATGTTATGTATATGTATATATATTATATTATATTATATTATATTGTATTATATTATATTATATTATATATATCATATCATATATATCATATCATATCATATCATATAATATTATATTATATTATATTATATTATATTATATATTGTGATATATTATAGTGAAATATTATAGTGATATATAGTATTGATATATATATATATGTTATATCTAGATGAGTATTAAATGTAGTTAAATGTTATATAGATGAGTATAATACTATCATTTATAACATGGGATTATATATAATATAAATAACACATATAGTTATATATTATAGTTATATATATATGTACTTTGTGGCTCATCCCGAATCGTAAGTGGGTTAGGTTCCAGTTTTTTAGTGGATTAACCCTACTCATCCCACTTATATGGTGTTATATAGTTTATATATATACACACATATATATATATATATATATCAGTGATCTGTATATATATATATATACATATGTACATATCTAAGACATATTCCAATTGGAAAAAACATACAGTATAGGAATGTATGGTGATATCCCATATAGTAATACATTAAGATACAGTGATACTCTAATTACTAGACACATACACTTTTTAAACCTATATGTTGATACTGTATATATATATATGTCACATATGTCAAATATGTACATATGTCGCAACAGTTTTCCCAGAGTATCGATTTCTCTCAGCAGTTTTTCTTTTTCAGGCCATGAAAGGTCCAAACTTTCGGTCCACGAAGTGTGCCGACAAAGCCCCAGAGACGATGGGGAAACATCCAAAACAAACAAACATCTCTCATTTGTCTCAAGACTGGGGCCAATTTGACAGAGCCGACGTTTTTTCTACATTTTTTGTCGCT